CAGCTGTATGAACGCTCCCACTGATGCTCTTGAACCCCTGCATCCACCCTGTCCACCCGCCCGCCCGTGATCCGGGGCCCCTTCCGACATTCCGGGTGCTGCAAACCTGCACTGCAGGCCGATACCTGCACCGGCGTCACGGCAAGCGAGGATGCTGACCTGGACACCAGCAGCTCCCTCGGTCGTACCACCTCCACTGCCGCCGTTGTCGCCTCCTGCTCCACCATCAGCCTGAGCGCCGCGGCCAGCTGCACTGCTGCCGCCACCGCCCCCGGTGCTGCTGTCAGCAGAGGCAGCTCCGGAAGGGCTAGTCGCTTCGCAAACGCCTTTGCCTCGCCCGCAATGCCCGCTGCTGCCACCTCCTCCACGCACACGCCTGCAGCTTCCCTCGGCTCAGCAGCCGCAGCTATAAGTGCAGCCGCAGCCGCAGCCGTGCTAACCGCGGGCCTGCCGCCCGCTCCGCCTGCTGTCTCGCCCCTCCGCAGCGCCTCCGTCAGCACTCCTCGTGCGGGCAGGAGCAGACTGCGCATCTCAACATCAGCTATGCCCTCAGATGAGCCGCCACAGCCCACGATTGCTGCCGGCTCCCACCCTGCAGCAGGCAGCAACAACCCGCTGCAGCAGCAACCCCACCAGCAGCAGCAGCAGCTCCGGTTGCTGGCCCCGTTGCATCCGACGCCACCGCCGCTAGCCCCGCACCCGCAGGCTGCAGGCGCGCTGCAGTCGGAACCGCTGCAGCAGCAGCAGCATCAGCAGCTACCACAGCCGCAACCTTCGTATAAAAGCACCGGAAGCTTCGCCTTTGCAACCACCACCACTGCAGCTGCACTGCGCGAATGGGAGACTGCAGAGGACAACAGTAGCAGTTTGCCCGCGACTCCAACTTGCCTGAGCTTTGCTAGGCGAGACGGTGGGGTGCGGGTGGTGGGCGCGGAAACGGGTGGAGGGGGTGCAGGCACGGGTGTGGTCGTGGGGGTGACTGGGGAGGAGGAAGGTGGAGGTACGGGTACGGAGTTGAGTGCTGAGGGCGTCAGCTTGTCTGCGATTGGACTGGCAGCGGATTGCGACGGGTATGGCAATAGTAGTGGCGGTTTCAGCGGCACTGTCGGCAGGCGAGGGAGCGCAATTGGGGTTGGGGAGGTTGCGATCGACATGGATAAACACGAAATTGTGAGGGACCCATGGGTCCATGCATGTGGGCAAGAGAGCGGACTGCGCTGATCTGAGGGACCCTGCTGCTGGGATTCCGGTCATGGTTTCCCCAACGGGTTTGGAGTGCTTCAAATCTGCGAGCGCTGAGGGCAGAGTGCGAGGGCAGAGCGAGTACTCGGGAGTACTGATAATCTTCCAGGAGTTGTGACACGTTGCTCAGCTGCAGCGAGCGTTGTAACTGTGTGTGGACTGGTTGGAGGCTTGTTTCTGGGGCTCGGGGAGGTCATGGTTGTAATTGTAACGACCAGCCAACAGCTGCCCTCGAAATGTATACGGTAATGTATGCTAGATGTGTTACTCTTTGACAGCTGCGCATGGCGAATATTGGTGGGTGTGATGGGGTGTATGTTCCCTTCGTCGTGTGCTTCCTGCCTGTGTGCAAGAGTGTGCCTAAATTCTTGACATGACAATTCGTGATGTTGCATAGCTGCCGTGATTGCTGTATTGATTGTGGGAATGGCTTCCAGTAATCACCTGTGGCGGCTCCTGTGGGTGGCTTAAGAGTAGCAGCAGCCGCTGGTCAGCTTGCCTCCTCGCGCGCTTTTAGACCTAGCACGCACGAACAGTTAGACTTGAAAAGGTAAACACTTGTTGCGGAGGGCTGCTGCGGACTGTGCTGCTGTAGGGATCTGAATCAAGGGCTAGCGGACTGAATCCTTGGAGGATTAAATATATAACGATGCCGAGTATGACAAGGGAGGTGGGGCTTCGATGGTCTGAGTGGCGGGGAGGATTGGGGGGCGGGGATCACTGCCATGTTCTGCTATTGGAAACCCCCTACGTCGTCTTGGATTGCACTTGAACCTCAACAAGATTGGTTGCAAGCCCACAGGGTTGGTGTTTTTGGCTTGCCTCGCAGTAGTTAAGAAGCTCCCTCTACCGCCTGGATTCTCGGGTTGCAACTTAGGCCTCAAAAAATGAGGAGGTAGGCTCATTTGTGGGATGTGTGTGAGGAGGAAAAAGGACGAAGGCGCCAGTGTCAAAACACACGACTGTTTCACAAAGGCAACTGCCAAGTGGCTGGAGTTCATTCCTGTGGTTATCTGTTACGCTCAACTACTACTCAACTACTTTTTGAGCCTGGCTTGCTTGGAACCTGCCATGCTGCGCTGTGGTGATCAATGTGAGTTTGTCATGAATTCGTACGACATGCGGTTGGAGGACGGATATGCACTTCATCCTTTGATGCTTCGTTAGTTTCTTTAAACAGGTCGAACTGGGCATTCTTACAAAAGCATGAGTGCAACCTCAGGTGATAATGTCATTGTTGTGATCTTGCTGTTTCAGGGCTATCAAGCAAGGAAGGCACGGTTTTAAGATTGGGGTAGGTGCCCGGGCGGGTTTACTGATGTTTTGTCGGTGATCCCTTGGACCCCTCCATCAATCCCTCACTCTTGAGCCTGAGTTTTGGCTTCGGTTTCAGTTTCTTCGGTTTTTCGAAACGGGAAGGGCTTTTATTGAGCAGCTGCAGGGAGTATTTTGAGTTGCTGCTCTCTCCAAGCTGCAGTCTTGATGTGCGGTTGCCTTGATAAATGGTGTGGGTTGGTTTGCGGCCCATGACTTGTGGGCGACGCTCCCTATCCCAGTGCCGCTGCTGGAATGGTTTCCTCGTGGTATGCCGTAAATTTTAATCTTCAAGTGATATTGCCCTTTAACGTTGATCCTTGGTGTCTCTTCAAGTAAGATGGCCTTTGTGTGTTGCATGTTGGTCGAATCTCCGGGCTTCGGCCCATGCATTGCGTTGGAGCCGTACACGAGCCGTACACTCACCTAGGCTCGTACGGCGATTGAAACTTTCGCAAAGACCATGTTTCTCGGCATGTTCCATAGACGTGCTGTATGGAGTTATGACGTACTTCCATGCACATCAACGTGCTGAGAAGTGCGCAGGATAGTCCGCAAAGTATCATTGTGAGACGGGTAGAGAAGAGGGCCATGAGAGCGTTATGGGCTAGTCACGCACAGAAGTGCTTGTCTGGGTAATGGTCACTTGTGAACCATGACGTAGGCTGGTCAACGCCAAAACTCCCCAATTTAGGCTGGCTTGTTCCGTGTACCGCTGCTGTTTGGGGTTGCTCTGGCACGCACCTCTTACCTTTAGGATGAGCAGCTTATGTCCTGTCTTTCCGTTCGCTGGGAACATCGACGCCAAATGGATGCAGAAATGGCGGTATCTTTTATTGCTGCGGTTGCCCGCCTGGGTTGGTCTGCAAGGAGCATGTGCATATACCCTAGACCTTCAACCTACATTAGGCTCATGGGACAGGCTTCGGGGCTTCTGATGAAAATAGCTTTCTAGTTGATTTTCCTGACCTAAAACGGTTTCTGTCTTGCATTACAACAAGGGTGACATCCGGTGCACACTACACTGGTGCAAAATGGGTTCCCAGGGGTTACCGGGAATTCCCAGCATAGGACAGTCATAGCTGCGGTGCTTGGTCTTCCCCTTACATACATCATTGTGCTAATTAAATGAAACCATGATGCACAGACCGTATCCTAGCTGCTCTGCAGCCCACCATTGGCTCCTGCCACAGCCGTATCTGTAACATCCTGGTACGGTATGTTGCCAAGTGCCAACAGTCACTTGGCTGAAAAAATTGGATGGGTGTCCCGGTTGACAGGGGGTACATTACTCAGCGGCAACATGTCAACTTGATGCGTTTTCGGCTGTGTGTGTGGGGCATTGAAGCCAATCGCCCAAGGGGTAGGCAACGAGTAGCGCGTGTTTGTCCTATGTGTGCCGTGCAAGGGTCGCCTGGGAGAGTGGAGGACGAGAAGCACATCCTCATTGAATGTCCCGCTTACGATGATTTGAGAGAAAAGATATGGGAAAGTGGTGTCTCACGGGATGCTGATATGATGTCTGTCATGGGCATGGAGGATCAGGTATTGCTTGCTAGCGTGATCACTACTGTAGCATGCGAAGTCGTAGGATTGCGCAGACAGGGATTATCATCTGAGTTGCGTACTGTTTTTGGTTTTTAAGTTTACTTTTCTTCTTTTGACTGTTTCCGGGTTTTTGTGCTCGCGATTCATGAGCCTTCTGGCTCGGACGGATCTTACGAGCTCGGTACGAAGCTTGTAACACATACATACATACTTGGCTGAACTCAATGCGATGTCCTCGTCTGTAAAGGGTTTGTAGGTTTTTAGGGTCTGATCACACTATCTGTAAACGGTTTGTAGGGTTCGTCACATTAACCAGTCAAAAGCTTTCATGTTAGGAGAAAGCGCGAAAGGGAGGTCCAGCGAAGCTGCGCAGCAAGTAGACAGCTGAACCTTTTGCAATAAGCCCTTCAACCTCATTTTGTGGCTTTGGTCCTGGTTACATGTCCGCTGCATGTCTGACAGTGTGTTTCAATAGTATTTGGCAAAGGCAGCTCTAAAGGCCTAAATGGTATCGTTTGTTGTGTTGGAATGCTGGCCTGCATTATCTCGGAGCGCAAGAATGGTTTATAGTAGATACAACAAAACGCACTGCCGCGGCCTGCGATGGTTTAAATCTTTATGCAGTGTCCTAAGCTTTGCCATAACGCTCCGATCTAGCATGTACTTGTACCGGTTCTTTTACATAGGCAAATGGAGGTTCCAACCTCGACAACCACCTTCAGCTTCCATCTGCCGCTTCTTTAGATTACAATTACAACCTCTTATTGTTGCTTATTTATGTGTTGACAGCAAGGAACTGTACTCCCAAAATAGAGGAAATGCCGCACGACATGTCGCCGTACGGTTTGAGCCATTCTTGATGCACAGAGAAACAAAGGCTCTAATTGAATGCATCCAGGGTATATCTGTAATAGCGCTGCATGTCAGCGGGTCTGCCGTTCGAAACTAGTTCGGGGGCATTGGGAAATGGACTGAACTGCCGGTGTGGGTGGAACCAATGCCGAAGAATGGAGTGCAGCATGGGTAATATGTCTATGGCAGATCGTCCTTCAATGCTATGCTAGATGCGACGGCAGTTAAGGATACAGTGCAAGCCAGCATGACATTCACGTTGTTTGCGCTGGCTTACATCGCGTTTGGTTGCCTTTTCGGAGGTGTGGAGGCGACATGCGACAATAGCACTAGCACAGGAAGCTATTGCGTGGCGTCGCTGGTCAGGGATATCCTTGCAGTGCCCGGGTGAGCTCCATACATGCGCCTAGCAGTACAGTCTCATATACCGTCTGGACTGCCATGTTATTTGAAGCAGGTTTTTACTGCTTGTTTCAGTTCTTCTTACTTAGGCATGTCCAATTCTCCGGCATGGATACCTTTTTCTTCGAGGCCTTTTGGAAGGATTCCGTGCCGACACCATTGTAGCTATCAGTAGCTATCAAAATTTGTCTGAATAGGAGTAACATTGAAGCGTTGCTGTGTTGTTGGACTGTACGATGGGGTACTTTCGCACGGCAACAGTGATTAGATTTATTGATTGCGCAGTTTTCGCTTCCTTCCTCGCCCACCTTCCTTTTCCTTCCTTCTGCTCCGCAACCTGCAGGGTGAATGTGAGCTCTGGCGGCTCCAGTCCCCGAGGGGCGGTGGAGGGAGCGGTGGGGACCTTCCTGGGGCAGTGCCTGGGGATGCAGGCGCCTACCCTCAGGGTAAGGGGGCGGTGGGGACTCCGGGTGCAGCGCCAGTGTTTCTGGCGCCTAACGGCTTTTGTGGGCTTGAGTGTCTTGCTGTTAAGGAGAAGGCGTAATGATGCGGGTTATGAGGTTGGTAGGGTATTATGACGTGGCTTTAGGCGGAGTGAGGCGGAATTAGGGAGAGGGAGCTGTGCAGCTTAGGTCGCATAACTGCACGACCATGCAGTTCATCATCACCTGAAAACACCCTGTCAAACTCTTAACTGCATCTTGCTCCTCTGCTTCTGTCAATTTACCTGACGCAAGCCCAGAAGCTCACGTTCCTCCCTTCGTACGCTACCCCAACCCCTTCCACTGATCCTCTCCGCCGGCGCATCCGCACCCTACGCAGCCGGTAAATATGCTGCTCATGCAAGAGACCAGGGGGCGCGGTGCGGAAAAGATTGGGGCCTACATCGAGGCGCGGACGGGGTTTACCTTCCAAGCAACTTATGTCGGTACAGATCAGGTGTGAAGCATGGTGGTGGTGCGGGTGGTTGAAAGCGGCGGTGCGGGTGGTTTACCGATGATAGGATGATCAGCACAAGGTTAAAAGGAAGACGGGGAGATTGAAATGGTGGCAGTTTGTCTGCAGCGTGTGCCACGGACTAGAAGAGATGATGGGGCATTCCTAAAGTTAGGGTTGGGCAAGTTCCCAATTTAACATGCCACCCGCTCCCCTGGCCCGTATGCAGCTCACCCAAGCCATCGTTTCCGACCTGGTCCTCCCCAGCGGCCAGCCCAACCCCGCCCCCTCCCTGGACGGTTTCGCCTTCGACCCCTCCGCCGTGGTTGACCTCACGGCGCTGGGCGCACTGGCGCCCCTGGAGCAGTACGTGCGGGAGGACGCGGACATTGAGTGGAGCGATGTCATACCATTCATTCGGCAGGTGAGGGCATAGTACCGTGTCATGTGCTGCTGCACGACACGTGTATGTTTACAAATATCGCTTTTCCCCCGCCCCCAGATTGCCACCATCTATGACGGGCACCTGGTGGGGGTGCCCATTACGGGACATGCCAGCGTGCTCTACTACCGCAAGGTGAGACAGGCAGGAGAAGGGGATGGAAATAGGGGTAAAACATGGTCATTCTTGTGTGCAACCTTGACCTTCCCATGTTCTTTCCCGCATCCCACCCACACCCCCCAGGACGTGCTGGCCGCTGCCGGCGCCCCGGTTCCCTCCACCTGGGAGGAGCTGCTGGCGGTGGCTTCCGCCGTGAATGGCAGCGACTTCAACGGGGATGGCAAACCCGACTACTCCATTTGCTGGTAGGGGGGATGGAGGAGGGGGGCTGGCAGGGAGGACAAGACGTGCTGCATGGGCCGGATAGGACAATGGGGAGAGGGGGCGAAGTGAGAGCCGGGGCAGGAGCTAATAAAAGTGAGGACTAGGAGTAAAGGTCCCCTCATCACTACCTGCATCCGCCTCCTCTCCCAGCACATTGGGCATTCTTCTTTACCCCTGCCTGTATACCATCCCAATCGCGTCTCTCCTCCCACGTGCCCTCTTTTGCTTTACCCAACTAGCTATCCTCCGGCCGCTCTCGCTCCCCTAACCCGCCTACTCCTGTCCGCTGCGCCATCACAGGCAGGTTGTCGACTGCTTGGAATCTTCTGTCGTCTTAGTTCAGATCCTAGCGCCCATGGTGCAGACTATGGTAGGATCATGATGGGACGGGGCATGCGGATAGGGAGGCACAGTTTGTGGGAGGACGGAGCTCAGGGCATGAGGAGTGAGCAAGCAACTGAGGATGACGATAAGCGGAGTAGGCAAGGAGGTACTGCAGATAAGCAGGTTACTGGGTTGCATCGTTGCGGCGACTTTGACCCTACCTCAATGCATTCTCGCAGCTGCGTGCCCGCTGTCCTTTCCCTCGCACCAACCAGCAGTCTGCCCTGGACCTCCCTCATTGCCTCATCAGGGTATGCCACACGGCTGGTTGTTCGACCCGGCCAACATGCAGCTGCTGCTCAACAGCACTGCCATGATGCGGGCACTGGAGCTGATGAGGGCCCTGCAGACCGTAACGTACCCCGGTTCCCGATGCAACCTGGTGCACTTTGAGTTCCTGTCCGGCGAGTGTGCGTTCACCGTGAAATGGGTCGAGCAGTTCAAGGTGCGGAACGGCATTAGGAACGGCAACCCCAAATCCTGATGGAGAATGCCAGGCTGTGCCCTAGCTTCTGACTTGCCTTGGTTCATTATGCTAAGTTTGGTGCAACGTCTGTCATGTCCTACGTAGCTGCTGTGCCAGTACGCTTGCAGAACCTGAAGCCCTTTCTTTCCTTCCCACGACGGCATGTTGAAAACCCACCCCGCGCTTGTTCTGTAATGATCCGCAAGCCGGCCAAGCGCTTTAGGCCGTCATACCTAAACCCCATACACCCTTGATGCCATCCGTAGGCAGCAGAGTTTTTCACACCCTACCTCCGCGGTCGGGTGGGAGTGGCGCAGCTGCCTGGCTCCACCCACGTGTTGGACAGAACCACGGGTCAGTTGGTCGCCTGCACGACCAGCATCTGCCCCTACGCACGCACCGAGCGAGATGCCAGGACGGGGCAGGCTGTGCTGGTCAATCGGGCGCCGCATTTCGGTTACGTTGGATTCGCAGGTTGGTCTGCAATGGATGGGTCGGTATGCGTTTTCAGGAACTCCTCTCCCTCCCTCCAGCACTCCTACGTCTTGTGGCCCATGTAGCTGTTCCAGACAGATGCGTTTACCAAATTAACTCCTGCAACTTTCACCGCCGTTCACCGGTGTTAGGCGGCGCTCGGAAAAGCGGCGATCCTGACTACCAGAAAGCCGTGTACAACTCCTTTGCTTTGTTCGCTAGCACGGAGACGAGCTGGGAGGTGAGAGGGTGGGCAGGAATGCCCAGCTAGCTTGTGCCGACTTGAGCTGGGTTTAGTAGGAAGGGAGCCCAAACGGCTGGCAATTGAAAGGAGCTGGCACTTAATAGGATGTAAGGTTCCTATTGGGAGGATGTGGGGTGATATACCAAAACCCACAGGTTGTGGAGTAGGGTAGCGGCACAAGAGCGCAGGAGGCTTGGGGTGGTCTAGGGCTGTGATAGGTGCTCGCTTGAATTAGTGTTCTCTGGGGTATGGTACCGTTATGGTATTACGCTATGTGGATGCATGTCTGCTAGTCGATCTGAGCTTAGTTGCCGACCCTTAACGTCTCCTCGCTGCCGCCTGCTGCCGCTCATCTCACCCAATCGCCTCGTACATCCCCATTCCGCCTCACTACAACTTCGGGGCGTCCAGTTATCAACACCCTTCTCCCTAACACGCCCCGTCCCTTCCTCGTCAACTACGTACGGCACCCCCAGTTCATCTTAGACCCTATAGCCCCGGCGGGCCCCTTCCGTACCTCGCATGTGGACCCAGCCAACCTACACAGGTAGGAAGGGCGGGAGGGAGGACGGGAGGGGACGACGGTGTCAGAAAAGCAAAAGGCGTCCACACATGGCTTAGGTGCCTCAGTAGCTACCGAGCTACCATGCGTTTGGATAACAATACATGCGTGCGATACCCATCGTACATGCGTGCATGCTTGCTTGCCGCGGGTGGCAGGTGGGTGGCTGCTGGGTACGATGCGAACGACACGGCCAGCTTCCTGAATGCGTGGAAGGAGTCCTACTCCGACCCCAATGTGGCCCTCGACATCCGTATTCTCAACTCGTACAAGTACAGGTAGTGTGGGTGGGGGGATGGGGGAAGCGGGGGTTTAGAGATGGGAGTCTGCTAAAGGGTGCGTGCTTGAGTGCAGAGAGGGCGTTCGTATGGGGGTGGTTGGATCTTGGCTAGGTATGCATGGGTGTTGTTCGTGGGCGGTTGCCTGTTCGGGCACTCAAAACCGGTTAGCATGCAGCAGTTACTGTTTCTAGCCCCCAATACCAAAGAGCGCCAAAGTGGGCACCATCCAGTTCGCCCATCCATGAACTTCATCTTTTATCTTTTACCCATCCGCTCCCCGCCCCCTTCCCTTAGGGATATCCTGGGGAGTGCCGGGAACAATATCACCCGTAACCTCTCCACTCCGCTGGTGGAGGTCTTCACCGCTCTCGTGCAGCAAACCATGCAGCTGCTGGCGGAGAGTGGCGGAGTGGACAAGGTGAGAGGCGGGGAGGGGAGGCGAGATTGAGGGGGAGGATGCAAAACAAAAGTGGGGTCTCATGAATGGTTGGCGGATGTTCCGACGTCACAAGGGTGCTTTGCCTGCTCGTGGTTTAACATTGGCAACACATGGGTGGCAACTGTCCTTGTGTTGCATTGCAGGGCTTTGACATTGCGCGGTGACAAAGGAGCAACCAAACTGCATCTGCACCCAGTAGACGCCACCTTTATCCAACGAAACCCTCACCTTGTCTTTTGCTGGCTTATGCACGCGCCTCCGCCCCCAGACACATGTCACGGCACCTCCTTTTCCATTGTGCGTGTGCTGCTGCGAGGGGCAACCGCTTACCGCTTGTGCCTCCCATTCTGCCAATCATCTCATCTTTCCTTGTTCATCATTTGCGCAGGTCCGTGCCGCCTACCGCACCGCCCTGGGCTACTCCTCCTCCTCCCCCCCACCGCCTCCGGAGCTCTTCATCGCTCGCCCGCCTCCTGCGCCCGCCCCGCCGCCGCCTCCCGCCGCCTCCTCCGGCTCTTCACGGCTAGGAGCAGTTGCAGGGGGGGCGGTGGCGACAGTGGTGGCGGTGGTGGTGTTGCTGGGCTTGGCGGGGTACTGGCTGTGGGCCAGAAGCCAAGGGTAAGCGCCGCTGGGGCAGCATGACGTTCTCATGTGTGGCCAGATGTGGAGTTCAGGTTGTGAATATCGGTGTGCCGCTGCTGCTGGTTCCCTCATTGCCATGCTCGGCAACGGTCCCACCCGACCCAACCCCGGCCCTCCCCTCCCTGCCGTCCAATCCCTTTCCACCTTCCAAACCCTCTTCGCTGCTCCTTCCCCCTCCCCTTCCCCCAGTCGCGGCCTGCTGGGCTCCACGCTGCCCCCCAAGCCCGGCCCCGAAACCACGCTGCTGGTGGCCTGCCTGCCCGACCTGCCGCTGCTGATGAGGGAGCTGCCGGAGCCGCTGGTGGCACGGTGTGGGGGGTGGGGGGGGGTGGGTTATATGGTGCAGGGGCTGTAGGGTTAGACATGCATACATGCGTCCACCAGCTCCATGCACCCAACACTCAACAGTCCTTCCTGCCTTGCCTTTCCTGCCTTCCTCTCTTCACGCATGCACCCACCCCCACGCATGCATCGCTGCCTGCAGGGCCCTATCGCAGTACCTCGCCTTCATGCGACGCTTGCTCAAGCAGCACAAGGGCTATGAGGCGCTAGCCGCACCGGCGAGTGACATATTGCCGACCGCTTCTGCCTCTGCTGTTGCCGCTGGCGGCTTCTTGGATGATCCAACATTCGCTACCACCGCCATCTCCATTACTCTTCCGCCTGCTGCATTTGACGGAGACCGCCGAGGTCGCGGTCGCCGCGGCAGTGTGGGTGACAGCGTCGAAGAGGCGAATGAGCGCTCGACCCCGCCGTCCCTGCGAGGCAACAGCGTCCAAGCTATTGAAGCCGCCGTCGCCGCTGCAAACACCCCACCAGACGTCGCAGCGGCAGCGACGGCGCCGCTTGCCACGGACAGCGCTTTCAGGCTTGGTGAATTAGCGGGCGAGGGTTGGTTCATGGTTTGCGCTTTCAGTACGGCACGAGATGCCGTACGGTTTGCTGCGGCGGCACAGCAGGGCCTAATGCGGCTGGACTGGCCGTCGCTGCTGTTAGAGCACCCGGCGTGCATGCCGCTGTACGCGCTATCGGCTGCCGCACTTTCTAACCATCCGACACGCCTCCACAGCACGCAGCCGTTCGGCAACAGAGGAACCAGATGCAGTGGTGGAGGTGGAGGGAGGTGGAATGGTGTCTTGCCAGCACACTTGCCTCCGTTGCATCCATTTTCTTGCCGGACCATGAAACAACAGCAGAACCAATTGAACCTGATGTATAGTTCCAATAACAGTAACAGCAACCAAAGCAGCCAAAACGGCGCTCGGAAGTATCCGAGTGCTACCAACGATTGGGACGCCTCTGTGCGGTATGCCGCCAGCGCCTCCACGACAGTGGCTACTGCTGGTATCACTGTAAGAATGAAACAAACGCCACGCAGCAGCGCCGGGGGCCACCGGTTGGCCGGGTCCGCAGGGCAAGGTAGGCCTTCGGCGCGGCGGGACGCTGTGTTCTGGGTAAAGCAGTTACATGGCTTTCGGCATTCCTTCTAGGCCCCAGAGCTGTAAAGTGCCCATGTATATCCTGCTCTTCGTGCTCTACGCCACACTCCCTTAACCCCCCCTCCCCGCCCCTTCCCCAGGCACCAGCGCCATCGTGCGCTCGCTGCTGGCCCGCCGGCACCGCGTGCTGGACCTCTTCCACACTGCCGGCAGCAGAGGGGGCAGCGAGGCGCCCTCGCGCTCGCACAGCTCCTGCCAGTCCATCATGAGGACGAATGGGGAGGTGCAGTCGCCGTACAGCAGTCGCGGAGGCGGCGCGGGAGGAGGAGTAGGCGGGCTGTCACAGCCGCCAGCGGCAGGGGCGGCAGCGCCTGCAATGGCGGGGGCAATGACTGACACAGCAGCAGCACGTGCGACAGCCGCGACTTGTGGCGATGGTAACCAAGCTGGCAACGCTAACACTGCTACTGACAATAGGTTTGTCCCAGTCAGCACACTTGCGGCGTTGTCAGCAAGGAGCAAACTGCCGCAACCGCAGCACCGGCCGCAGCCACAGCTTCTGTCCTTCACTCGCTCGGACCTTTCGCTGCGTTTGCCGTCACAACCGTTACAGCCGCAGCAGGATAAGAAGGAGCGTCCCTTGCAGCATCCCCCTCCGCAGCAATCAACGGAACCTACCACCGGCCTTCAGGAAAAGTGCTGCACGGTAGACGATACTAACAACCACTTCTACAACCCATTCTCTACCACTGCCGCCATTGCCGCCGCTGCCGCCACTGGCGGTTCATTTTCTCCCGCCACGGCTCCGGCACCATGGCTGGACGCCTCCTCCCCCGCTGCATGGGTGGCGGAGCTTCCAGACCCCCTCGGCGGCACCGCCGCCGCCGCCTCGTCCTCCTTGGTGCGCCGCAGTCCGTCCTCCGTCGGACGCTTCCTAACGCTGGTGGCTGCTGGAACCCCGAGCGCAGCTGGCGGTGAGCGTGGCAGCAGCGGGAGCGGCAATGGCACACAGCTAGACCGCAACACTCAGGGTTTGTGTGCCTTGTACGGCAGAGGCGCCTCCAGCTTGTCACAGCAGGCGGCTCTTCTGGGTAGCCCGCTCGGCATGCTCAGGACGCGCACCCTGCAGCCCGCCCGTTCTGCCATCGCCCCTGCGTTGTCAGCAATTAGGGCAACATCCGTGCTTGCTGTAGCGGCTGGGGCCGCCGCTGCTGATGCCACTGCCGGCGCCTGGGCTGGGACACTGACCGCAGATAATGGTTTCGGTAGCGGCGGTGGTGTTGGTGACGGGACAACGGCCTTGTTGGCCGCCTCGTCTGCTGGCTTGGAGGTTGGCAGCTCCTGCAAGCCGCCACAACGCCAAACGCCCGTACAACTACCATGTCCTTCACCGCCGCCGACGCCGCCGCCGCAGCAGGGGGCTGTGGCAGCGGCATCAGTTGCAGCTGCCGTCGGTGGCGTCGCATTGCAACAGCAGACGCAGCCGCACACTGCGACCACAACCCTGGACGCCTCTGCAGCTCAGGGCGCAGTGGCGGCAGCGACGGGGCCCATTGCCTCTGCTACCATTGCAAACACGAACGCTAACGCCGACGCTGTCAGCAGCAAAGCCCGCGGCGGCGGGCCGTTGCAGGTCGTACGAATGGCCGAGTATTACCAAGTTGCGTTCAAAGTGGTCAACACCCTGGCCCAAGTGATCTCATCGCACAACGGAGGGGCTGAGGTCGCTGCTGACGGCGCCGATGCTACCACAACCTACACCGCTACCAGTACTGTCGCTGTCGGCCCGGACAGCAGCAGCAAACAGCGACCCAGGGAAGGCTCATGTCTTCGGTTCTTAGGCCCGCCGCCTAGCGGGTCCCTGGAAACCGCTGTCAGCCCTTATAATACTGGTAGCGGTGGCGGCTTCAGCGGCGGTGGTGGCGGCATCCCCGGCGCCATCAAGCAATACGGGAGTATCCATGCAAGCCACGAAACATGCAGTAGCGACTACACCCCCGGCGACAGCGGTCGCGGCAAAGGAGGGGGCAGTAGCTCCGCATGTGCCATGGCAGGTAGCTCAGGAAGCGTTCTTAAACCGTTGGCGGCCGGCTCCCGGGCCGCTGCGGCCCTTCAGGTGCCTTTGGCTGCTCTACCGGTGCATTCGGAGGTGGGTCAGCAGCACAGTTCGCCTTACAATTGATGTGGGTTACATTTAGTTGCTAACTCAGAGTTACTGGATTCCCAGTGGGAAACCTTATTTGACTAAGAGTAGTATCGCACGGCATCATAAGCGCCATTCTGAGCAACATACACATGTACGGTGGTAGCGAATTGATTCATGGATGTCAGGAAAGAGTCCTGATCTCTCTCAACCTCGTTCGTGATTCCAAATTCTTCCTTCCTCACAGGACACCGCCTTGCCCGCCATATCCGTCGACCTCACGCCTAGCTTCTCCGCTACCCCCAGCGCTGCTGCTGCTGGCGACGTCACCGCAGTCGCTGCAATGGGTGTTGCCCCATCAAAGGCATCCGGTAGCTGTGTGGTGTCCGCTAGAGACCTCGCCACATCCTCTGCGTCGCTGGTGCTGCGACAAAGCAATGGCGGCGGTGGCGGCGGCTACCAGCGCTCCAACACGCAGCAAAGCGGCCTCATTCCACCCGTACCCAGCCCCCTAAGGTAGGCGGGAACGTTGCCTAACGTGCATGATGTTCATGAGGGCTGATGCTGGTCTTAGGCTGGGGAGCCACTGCTCACATCCCAGCAATTCCCGCTTCTCCTCTTTCGAAACGCCCCTCCTCTCCGTTCCCCTGTCTGCTGCAACCTCCTCCGCCTTAGGTCCGGACGTCCAGTGGCCTTTCTTTCCCGATTCTCCCGGGGCACAGCCGCCTCCGCCTCCGGGCATCCCACGCCGGGACTGCCCCCATGCCCACAAGCTGCCACCCCACCTGGCCTCGCGAGCAGCAGCAGCGCGCATGCCTCCGGCTCAGCTGGCGGCAGCGGTGGTACCGGCAACCCCCCTACCGCCGGTGCCTCGTCTTGGTGGGGAGCGTTGTGGCGGATCCTGACCCATGCAGGTCGAGAGACGGACCCCGTTGCAATGTTATCCACAGGCGGTAAGGCTGCGGAACAGAGCCTTACAAGGGCAGCGGAGGCGGAGGCGCAGACGGAGGCGATGTTACGGGAGGCCGGTACGGTGTTGCAAAGGTGAGGAGTTGGCTGCTATTCTTAGAATCCTGAGCGCACAAAGCGTTTCTGTAGCAACAGTCGCAACGCAAGTAGCTACGGGTACCTCTTATACCAGTACATCACATCTGTTGCCGTAGCCAAATGTTAACGTCTGTATCGCAGGGGCTTGCGGGTGTGCATGGGCCTGAGTTCCGGAGTGGCCTCGCGACATGTCTCCTACACGCGTACGGCAAAGCGTGTCCAGTACTGCGGTCTTACACTTCAGATTGCACGCGATCTGTCGTATGCGGCCTACGGCACAGCCTCACGTGTACTGCTGAGCGGCGGTTGCTACAAGCAGTTGGACGCAGGCAGTCCGGATTTCAACCGTACATGTACGATTCTAAACATTGGGGAGTACCAACTGCTTCAGCCGTGCAGGATTCCATGTCCATTGGACTTGTACATGGTAAGAGCGGACAACATTTTTGCAGTCCTATGGGCGTAGTGTTGAAGGACCTTGGCGGGAACCTTTGCTTAAAGGCATAGGAATGCAACACCTGCTTTACCCCGCCCCTGCTCCCCTTGCCTTACTGCTTGCCCTTTCCCCGTCTTCCCCTCCCGCTCTGAACCCCCCTTCCCATGCAGCCGCTGACTCCCCTCCAAGGCCCCTGCCTGGCGGCCCACACGCGGCCCCGTGGCGCGCTGCAGACGCAGGGCGGGGTGATGGAGGCGCCGGTGGGGGACGTGACCATCGTCTTCGCCTACGCGGTGGGGGTCAGCACACTCATGGCCTGGGACCTGGCCGAGGCCCAGTCCGCCGTGTCTCTGCTGCAGAGCACCGCCTGCCGGCAGCTGGCCGCGTTCGGCGGCTACCTGGTTGAGCTGGCGGACGGGCTGTGCCTGGCGGCCTTCCAGCAGCCCGCCGCGGCGGTGCGGTGGGGGCTCACGGTGCAGTCGCGGCTCATGCACGCGGACTGGAGCCCGCGGCTGCTGGAACACGAGCTGTGTGAGCTGGTGAGGGGCTGTGATGGACAGGAAAAGAGCTGTGATGGACAGGGGGCTAGGGGTAAGGGGCAAGATGATGTGTGATGCGTGAGGGAGTATCAGGTTATGGAAGCAATAAACGAGGGGAAGTGATAGCCAAAGATATGCGGCCGTCCCCGTTACGTCTTAGGATTTTGTAGACTCCGGCCGGTTGTAGCCCTTTCAAAGGAGCTTAGATATTCAGCCTCCTACCGTCTCTCCTCCTTGGCCTTCCTTGGCCTTCCTCGTCCTCACGCTTAAACGCCACCCTCACCGTCATCCCTGTGCAGGTCTTGGTCTCGGATGTGCGAGGTGGCGACGGTGGCGATCCCAACGGACACCTCCCACCACACCCACCACCTCCCAACCTGAAGCAGCCCCCATCCCAGCCGCAGCCGCAGTCCCGGCCGCCGCCGCAGACGGACACCGCAGATGCCGTAAGTGAGGCCAATGCCAGCACCCTCACCACTGCCAACGAGCCTACTGCTGGCAGTGGCATTAGTGGTGGAGGCGCCGGTGACGGCAATGGCTCTGCTTCCCCCATTTGCAATGGCCGCAATGCGCCCCGCAGCGGCAGTGGCTACCATTTCATGCGGGTTCTATATCGCGGGTTGCGGCTGCGTGTGGGTACGGACGTGGGGCCGGTCAAGGCGGAGATCAGCGGCGTCACGGGGCGGGTGTCGTACCGGGGCAAGACCATGAACCGCGCGGCACGCATCGCGGCAAAGGCGCCGGCGGGACAGGTGCGGCGGTGGGGATGAGATGGGCAGATCCAAAGAATGGGGCGGGACGTACAAAGAGAGGTGGAAGGATAACGCGGGTGCATCTCACGGTCATGTGCGTGCCAGGGCTGCAGACATGTGAATGGCATGTCAGGGCGTGCCAGGGCTCTGAACGATATTAGCCATTCTCCTGCCCGTACCTAACGCTCTCCCTTTTTTTATTGCTGCGGACTCCTTTGGTCCTTCCTCTCCTTTATCTCTCCCTCCTTCTCACAGTTGTGGTGCAGCGGAGACGTCTGGCGCGCCTGCTGCCAAGAAACGACCCACACCACGACGCACCAGTACCCGCTGCCCTCCAGCCCGCTTCACCCTACACACAAGACCTCCGATCCCAACGTCCCCTTTCCCGCCACTACCACAACTACTGTCACACGCTCTCTTGTTCCCGACGCTTCCTTTATCGCACCAGCTCTTGCCAGCCCTCCCGCCGTGGCCTCACACCCTTCCCTCACGACCGGCAAGGGCACAGCAGCAACGAACGCGGCCTTGAGGGGACGCATGCGTCGGGCGTCCGCAGGCCCTATCTTGGTCAACAACTCGTTCTCCTTTGAAGGCCGTTTAGGAGCTGCGGCAGCCCTCCTATCAGCACGCGCAAGTAATGTTAGTGACCGGAGATGGGGAGGGAGCGTGACGTCAGGCAGAAGCATGGTTGCTGGGATGGCTGGGGCCATGGGAAGCAGAGTGGGAGCCGGAGAGGGCGGAGGCGGAGCAGCAGCAGCTGGCGAGGCGTTCGGCTGGGGTGTGCTCCCTGAGGCGTATGCTCCGCTGGCTGCTCGCTACCAGGGACGGCATGTGCTCAAGGGGCTTTCGGAGCCGCTGGAGCTCTGGTGCTGCCGGTGAGGGGGAGGGAAAAATATAGGTAAATGCATCAACGAGGAGGAGCGAGGGGCGGAGGGGGACAGGGGTGCATGCACTCGGACTGCAACATGGCACCCCAACGGTGAGGCGATGTGCGCCACCTCTACGGGGCATGTCCCATGGGTCCGAGCAATGCTATCCAGCAACGGATGCGGCACCCTTCCAACCAGGTTGGTCATGTTTCTGTACTGCCATACATACCATGCTTACTGCTCCTTGTCCGCTGCCCGTCCGTTTCCTCCTCTGCCTCCTTGCCCTGCCTCTTTCGCACCGCTGTGTGCTTCACGTCCGCTACACGGCCGCCACCTGCTGCTGCGGCACTTACGCGCCTTCTGCTTGCAGCTTCGAGATGGGAGCCGTCTACGGCTACGCCTCGCCCGCCTCGCCATGCTACCAACCCCAACGGCCCTACGGCGGCCGCAGAGGCAGCAGCCAGGGGAACACGGGGCCTGTACCGCCACCGCCGCCCCAGTATCCTCCAGTAACGAACGCGCAGCTCCGCCAGAAGCAGCGCAAATCGTTAGAACACCAGCAGCAGCAGCAGCAGCACCGTAGGCAGCCAGCAGGACGGGAGAGCCAGCAGCAGCAGCAGTGCCACATACCGGATCAAGAGCAGATGCAGAGGGAAGAGACGTTCGCCACACGGATAATGGGAGGCGGTGGAGGAGGACGAAGCTTCACGATGTGTTACGAGGGAAGCGGCGGCGGTATCCCCTTCAAGTACCGAAAGCCTTGTTCTCAGGGGGGCAGTGACGATGGCGGCCCGGGTGTCACAGAGACATCAGAGGCGAGGGCGGCAGGGGACACAGCTTTGCTGAAGGCGGCAGGGGTGGGAGCGGTGGCATTGACTCTGGGAGCAATGTCAACGGCAGGAGGGTACCCAAGAACTTACTCAAACACATTGTTTAGTGCGTCACCGGTAAGAGTTAATGAAGAGGCTATGTGCGGTTGCGTTTATCGGTTGAGACTTGATGCCCTCTAGCTAATTCCATATGTACGCTAATTCTTGCAAAACGTCGGAAGGTTGTGCGTCGAGGTGCTGCTTGCCAAAGGTTGCTGTCTGTTCGTCATGTCATGTCATGCCCTCCAGGCTCTAGCCGCCATTCCTGCCGCATCCTCATCGCTCATTCATTCTTCACACACTGACTAACGTTCCCACCTGCCTCACCTCCACCATTCGGGGGGCACAACACCACCCGCTGCACTACCTCCTCTGCATCAGCTTGGCGCACACAGTGCCCGTACGATGTCACATGAAAATGATGAAATACCAGTAGCTGATGACTCGGACAAGGAGGCCGTCACTGCACACACCTCTTCACCCGCCGGCAGCAGCAGCACCACCACCAGCGCCGCTGGTGGTGGTGGTGCCAACACTGGAGCAGGCGCAGGCGCCGCCACCGCTACCGGTGGCAACATCAACGGAGGCAGCTCCGGTCGCGGCAGGGCTAGTCGCTTTTCCTCAACCGCCTTTGCCTCGCCCGCAGTGTCTGCTGCTGCCACCTCCTCCACGCACGTGCCTACTCCCATCGCCGCATCCGCACCCCCAGCCGCGGCAGCAGACGTATCCTCCGCGCCCAGAGCACCACCGCAACTAGCAACAGCAGCAGCAGCAGCAGCAGCAACAACAACAACAACAACAACAGCAGCAGCAGCAGCAGCAGCAGCAGCAGCAGCAGCAGCAGCAGCAGCAACAACAACAACAACAGCAGCAGCAGCATCAACAGCTACAACAACAACAGCAGCAGCAGCAACAGCATCGGTCGCTGCTCCTCTGGCTCCTCTGCTCCCCCGTAGCAGCTCCGCTACCGGCAGTAGCCTCCGCGCCGGCAGGAGCAGACTGTGTGTTTCCACGTCAGCTGGCAGCGACACCACTGCCGATGTTGGCGGTGGCGGTGAAGCATGATCGTTGCAGCCTGAGATCTGTTCACAACCGTGCCTGAGCCCACTCCCGTCGCCTCCATCCCCACGAGCATCCTTGCCGCTATCACCATCGGTGCAACCGCAATAGTTGAGGCAATGCAAGCGCGTCGCCTTTGCAACCAACAACAACCGCAGTGTCACTACTCAGCGGGAGTGGGAGACTGCAGAAGAGAGCAGCAGCAGTTTGCCCGCGACTCCACTTTCCTGAGTTTGCCAGGCAAGATGATGGGGTACAGGTGGGGCCAGAAGCGGGCGGTGCAGGCGCGGTGTGGGCGTAAGTGCGGGTGTGGGCGTGGTTGTGAAGTGCATGGGCACAAGGCGGTGTCTGGGTTATTCATTGTTTTCGGTAGTGCTGCGGAAGGCGGGGGTGGCGGCAATGTCTCCGGTGTTTAGAGATGGTGGCAGGCAGGAAGATCCGGCTGAGGTTGGGGATATTGTACTGGAATAAAAGAATGACCCATGGGACCAAGGTGAAGCATTAGGGCACATGCAGGAGTGTCCTGGTGGTGGCGATGGTGCTCGAAGACGGGATATGTTATCACATGGCAAAAGTCAAAGTAACAATGGGTTACGCGTGGCTGCTAATTGCATGCCACTTTCTGTCTTCTGAATGGTACAAAATATAGTGTATGCAGTGCTTATCCAACGGCGGGCTCCAATGTCAAATCATGCGTTACGGGTAAATGTTATTTTGGATAACGGTGACACTGGAAAAAATCCAACAGGCGAAGGTGGCGGGACAAAGTAACACCCATGGAACGCTCATCAAGACACCTCAAGAGGCTGGTTTGGGTGGGCCCAGCAAAGGGGTTGGCGTGTACTTTTGCAAGTCGGAGTGTAAGGTGGCAAGTTTAATTATGAAAAGTGGAAGAGAGTGCCGAATCCGCAACACATGGAAAGAGTCGGTTGGATGGACCGTATTCGTATTCGGGCCGCAATTTGTCGTATAGTACCCATTACTTCCAAGAGACGCGTATGTTTACCACATGCAAAGGCACCAAAGGCGTGCGTTTAAGGTTATCCATTGTGTACTCCCCGCGCCAGCCGTTGCTGCTATGAGAGAAGTGAGCATGCTGCTATGCCTTGCAGTGAGTTTGTGGGTTTTGTCGGTGTTCGGTTGAAAAATGCCGAAGAGGCTTTTATAAAGATGTTCTAATGTCAGAATCCCTTGGTTTGGGATTTTACTAGTGTCTTCAATACCGCCTTCCATTCACCCCGCACGCAGGTGCATCTTTTTTACCCCGCAATTAGTACATACGGTATCTGAGAGATATGAAGGCAACAAGCAATACCCGAGGGAAATGGACTGGGCGTGCCGGGGACGCGTGTGCATGTGGGGCGGTGGACACGAGTCGCCTGTTTTTGTTCGCAAGGTTGTTTGAGATAGAGTCACGGGGTCTGGGCATTGGCCCCTTTTACGTCAATTATTTTGCCGCCTCTAATGGGCCTGCTCACGCCACAACATTCTACAACCGGTACAATGAGTTACATCAATCTCCTGCAGTACAAATCTAGACCTACATGCGTGGCCTCAAACGCAACACCGACCTCCAGCATTTTGCCGTACATACTCAGGCTGGTCAAGCACCCCAGTCCGCTTTCAGGTGCCGGCCCTAGTGGTGTTGAGATACTTTTTTTGGCGTATTGGGTTGTCGTGCAGATGTGCTTTTGTGTGCAGCTTCCGTCCATGTACGTAGGGGCGAGTGCATGGGTTGCCGTGCAATTGTACTTCTGTGTGCACTTTCCGTTTGGAAGTTTGCTTGCTGCGCTGTATCGGTGCTTTCAATTCCGACCTTTGCTCTCTTATGCCCGGTTAGTAACGCAACCGGCGGTCTTTGCTGTGTAGAGGTTGGGCGCATGCGTTCCTGTGTTTGTACCGGTATGTCAGAAGGCCCGGTGTTTTTCTCGCACTCTTTCAGTTGATAGTTTCCCAGATGGACGTCTTTGCTATGTACCGGTAAAGGGACCAGGTCACCAGGATCGGTGTTTCACGAGCCACTAATAGAGGCATTTACAGCCTTTACGTAACACGCCATCAATCTAACAATTGTTGCCCGCCCCTTCGCGCCCAACCTTCCCTCATTGCGGGTTCGTAATTTTTTGCGTAAAGAAACCCGACGCCTCTGTCGTCCAATGGCAACGCCAGCCTAATGTCAGGACTTGACAAAATGATGTACAACCACCATAACGCTTACATAGTAAAAAACCGTCTCCAACAACCTACGCAGAGTTCACGACCCGCCACCTTCACCGTCCCTCAGGGCAACCAACGACTACAAACAAGAGTGGCCCATCCTTGCCAAACGACCTCCGCTGGAAACCGTGGCGCAAGAAAAATACGTAGTGGCCTTCCCAGCAGCCCCCTCCGTGGCCACGGTGGAACATTAGGACACCGGTAGTGTATACAGCTTATCAGCGCCACCATGAAACCGCATATCACCACTGTCACCGCCGCTCATGCCATGCTAGCGCAGCCTCTTGTGTCGAAAAGGACACACCTTTTCCCTCACCCTCACCCCAAATGGAGGACGGAAGGGCGACCGAAGCCGCAGCGGTGGCTTTCGCACCAATAACCATTCATCAGCCAGGGCCTCCGCCCCTTGTATACCATTCCACATAGCCCATCTCATCATCCCAGTCTCCCTACGGAACAATGACTCTTGGACCCAGACCAAACGGGCGCGGCCGTAGCTGCTACATCGTGCTAACCCTACCACCACCCAAGTGACAACAGCAACTACACCACATAGTGAGCAGGCCGTACAGCAGTGGCGTAGTGGCGAGAAGTGGAGTGGGGCCCGGCGCGCAAGCATAGCTGGCAGCACATTGCTGGCAAGCTGTCCAGCTGGAACGGATATACCGGTACAACGTTGTCCCACTCCAACCGACCGCATGTTTCACATACCGGTAGCGCCGAAACCGTCCAGAGCCTCCTCATCCCTACTGGCCCACGTGCACCTGAACCCGTCTCGCTGACGGCTGAACCCTGCCCCTGCCACTATATAGCCCTAACCGTACCGCGCTTGCGGCACACGCCAGACTAACACGTCCTCAAATAATCCGCTTGCGCTTGCGGCCGGTGTACTTGCTGTCAGGCGCAATGTCGTACCCCTTCTTGCGCATCTGCTCCTTCTTCTTGAGCACCCACTCGCGCCCCTTGGTGTTCGAGCCGCTACCCGTCTTGCGCCGCTTGTTCCGGTCTCGACCGGCGACCTGGAGTGAGCGGGTGAGGTCAGCATAGCAGATTAGCGTGCTTCAGGTGTGCAAAAGGGTGGAATACGGACGGTCGTGGTGGTGGTGGTGCCATGTGGCTGCACACACGTGGCAGGTGTCTAGCACCGCTGTTTTCCGCACGCAGTGAGGGCCTACCTTGACATGCCCCGCCTCCTCCTCGTCCTCCGGCTCGCTGCCGTCCAGCCCCCGCGCCTGTGGCACGACGCTGCTGGTGCCCACCATGAGCACCAGGAAGTACTTCTTGGCGCGGGTGGAATGCGGGTAGTCCACAACCATGCCGCCGGAGAAGCCAACCTAGGAGGGCGAGGGCGAAGGGGTGGGGTGGTGAAGGCCAGGTGAGTAGGTGCATGGGTGGGTGGATAGATAGGACTACCGGCGTGTGAACGCCGTTGCGCAGCTAGTGAAACCCTAACCCTAGCCCGCACCTTTCCACTCCCTTCCTCTCCACCCCTCCCTTCCCCTTCCCTCACCTTCATGGCCGCCGCCACCAGCATCTCCGCCTGCTGGTGGTTCTCCGGGTAGACCTGCAGCACCGCGCGAGCCCCCCGCCGCAGGCTCATGTACAGCGTCTCGAAGAACCGCTTCATGCGCTTCCTGGGGTGGGTGGATGGAGAGATGGGGTGCGATGGAGGGGCGGAAGAGGGTTGGACATGCACAAGTGGTGTTTCTTCTTCGTGTACCCCGGGGCTACCTGCTAAGGTGGCCCCATCACCAGTCCTCTGCCTCAACATGCCCCCTTTCCTTGGCCTTCCCTTACTTCCCCGGACCAACACGAGCCTCTCCCCTTCAGCAGTCCTGCCTCTCCTGAAACCACCTAACCCCTGCCCCGTCCGCATCCCTCCCTTCCCTCCTCCCCTCGCCCAGCTCACCTGGGGTCGTGCCCTGTCCTGTCCGCGTTACACAGCCACTGCACCGCCGAGATGCTGATGGCGCCGTCAAAGGCACCCGGCCGCAGCGGCAGACCGTGACCCAGATCGCCCAACAGCAGATCGCCCTCCACCTGCGGGCGGGGAGGGGATACAGAGGTGGGGCATTAGTAAAACCGACCAATAGAGTGATAAGGGACCAGTGACTGGCATTGCGTCTCCCACCCTCTAGCCCACGGTTCCCTCTCATCAACCGTTGCTTTCTCATGTACCACCAGCGCCTAAGCACGGTGTCCAACACAACCCTGCCATCCTTCGCCTCTTTGTCGAGGAGAACGCACCTCCCGCTCTGTCGCTACGTCGAGCATGGCTGAGCTGATGTCCATCCCCACCCAGACGTGCCCCGCCTCGCTGAGCGCCTCCCCGGACAAGCCGCTGCCACAGCCCAGGTCGAGCAGCAGCCGCGGCATGCCATCCTCAGGGAGCGCTAAAAGCTCCAGCGCGCGTTGTGTTAGCGTTGACTGAATCGCTATCATGCGGCTGCATTGCGGGCAATGGGCGAAATGGGTGTCGGTTAGCAAGGCGACGACAAGGACGCGAAATGCAAGGAATCCGACACTGAACGAGCAAAGTTTATAGCGCAGGGTAAATTTAGAACGACGGAAAGGTGCTTGAGACTGCCTTCATAAATTGCGCCGCCCTAGTCGCCAGCTCGGGCGCATGCTTACCTGTTGGTGGTGTACTTGCGAGCTTCGTCCTCGTTATAGAAGATATCTGGCGGAGCCATATGCTCCGGGCGTTCGCCTTTACCCATGTTGCGTGGCTTTCTTACTACGTTCTTAGAGGCCTGCTGACTTCTTACAAATGCTAGAACGGCTAGGATGCTAAAATGTCAATGCTAATAGGCGCCTATTAACATTAGAAGGTGGAGAAACCGTTGTTCGAGGAACGTGGCCTTGCCGACCCTGGGCGCTGGGCGTTCTGCTGTTGCTTAGATATCTCAGCAATCTTGGACTGTATAAACATGAAAATGACAGCGTGAGTGTTTCACTTAATAAGTATACAACAGAGCCCCTTGAACTCTCTTAATGTAATAAATCCCGAGCTCCAATCCATGCGCAACTCTCACCTCCATCTCTTCAAGCTTCTGTAAGGTAATTGACTTTAATGGCATAAGCTTGGGCTTGCAAAGGATTTCTGTAAGGTTGCCCTTCTCGCTGACCACAAGTCCAGCTTTTGGGAGGACCTCTTTAACACCGGATGGCTTCTGTCCGTTCATTGCAAGTGCTGAAGCCCATACACCTTACCAACTACTATCCCGCTCTTTCCGTTTCCCTCTTATCCCTGAATGTAAACCGATACGGAACTGAATATGATAAAAATGGAAACTGAGATGAAGTGCACCTATATACCATGTACCCCTCGCAGCTAGAAGCATGAGGAACCCAACTGCTTAGCTCCGGAACTTCGTACATCCGTCGCGAAACTTCCGCTCTGGAAGCGCTTTAAGGGATATATATCAGTTCTCACGCAGGAGTCGTAGGCATTGAAGCAATAAGCGCTTACGCAACTTGCGTTCACGTCTCTAGACGTACTCATAGTATTGCATTCGCTTGCAAATGGCTGAGGACGACGTCATGGCCAATGCACCCGCTGAGGATCTGCACGCTGAAAATCCCCCAGTTGAAGGTGCTCTTGCTGAGGAGCCAATGGAGGACGCCAGCACTGATCTGGCTCCCTTGCCCGACGCTGGTGCGTCAGCGGGCATGATGTCTCTCTAAGCGGACGCCCCCAGCAGCTTTATCACCACAGTTGCTTGGCCTTACGCAGGCGACACTGTAAATGACGTTCCTATGGATGATGATCTTGACTACTCGGAGGTCGGCAAGGAAATTAAGCTTACGGTACGTTTGCATGTGCCTCGCTCTTGCACACATCGACATGGTGTCCTCCTCTCACGTTCTCTTGGAGTCAACAGCATGGGACTAAAGAGATGCAGCGTCGTCCCTCTTTATGTTCATGGTTTTGCAACCAACTTTGCGAGACCCAACGGCTCTAGAGCCTTCGTACTGGGGAATCAGCTTCCCAGCCGATCTCCTCACGTGCACGTATGGCCTATGCGACAACTTATTATCCTGTACTTTCTAGAGCCGGTCTTGAAGCTTCTGCAGCTGCTGCTGCTTGCACTTCCCTTGCTGTCGGCATCCTTCATCAAGTCACGACCCCATGCTTCGCCGTTGCTGTCCCTCCCTGTCCGCCCTCACGTCACCACATACCGTGTCCGGCTGTATTACATCTCGCCTCTCAGTCACCACGCGCTCCCTCCTTTCCTCCCTTCCATTTGCTGGCCCGTTGTGTAGACCGCCGACCCGCAACCCCTTTCCTCCAACCTTTCCCCTCAATCTTGCCTTTTCAGTTTCCTCAGGAACACTTTGGCTTCCCTTTTACCCCCTCACTTCCCTCCCTCTCCCCCAGGACGACGGCGGGGTCATCAAGAAGGTCATTACCGCGGGTGACGGCTGGGAGACACCCGAGGCAGGCGATGAGGTGACCGGTGGGTGCGGTAACACATACACACGTTTCCTCTTCTCCTGCCCTAATCCGTTACTTTTCCCTCCACTCTCTTCCCCCTTTTTCCCCCTTTTCCCCTTTCTTCACCCCTGCCTCAGTGCACTACGTGGGCACGCTGGAGGACGGCACCCAGTTCGACAGCAGCCGCGACCGGAACCAGCCCTTCGTGTTCCCGCTGGGACAGGGTGCGTGCGGGGGGGGCTTGCGTGTGTGCCGTGGGGAGAGGGCTGGGGCCGGGGAAGAAGGGAGATGATAGATGTTGATGTGTTGTGCTGACGCAGGAGGGAGGCTGAATGGGAAAGGGGCATGGCTAAGGTGTGGGGAATGAGGGGGCACGTCGTATGCCGTGCGCCTCTGCTTTATGTCTGAAACGCTTACCGCCTTCCATCTCCTACCTCCCATCTCTCCCCCCCACCTACCTATGTCTTTAGGATAGTGTCTCCGAATCCGCTCACTGCATGAGTCGGGATATGGGAATGGGACTCGTTGTTTCACTTATATAATTTTTTCCCCACCTACCCACCACCCCACCAGGCCGCGTGATCAAGGGCTGGGACACGGGTGTGGCCCGCATGAAGAGGGGCGAGAAGGCGCTGCTCATCTGCAAGCCCGAGTACGCGTACGGCCCGCAGGGCAGCCCGCCCAAGATCCCGCCCAACGCCACCCTTCACTTTGAGGTGGAGCTGCTGAGCTGGCGCAGCGTGAAGGACATCTCGGGTGATGGCGGCGTCATCAAGACCATTCTTGCGGAGGGATCTGGGTGGGAGCAGTGCCAGGAGCTGTTCGAGGCCAAGGGTGCGTCGTGGTGGAAGGAGGGAGGGGGGTCGGGAGCCGTTGCTAGTGCGGATGGGTAGCGCGCGTGTGTGCGTGTGTTTCGCACCACAGCTGTTACACACCTAGCCTGCTGCTTCACCTCCGCATCTCCCACAGTCCGAATGTTCTTTGCCAACTTCACGTCTTCTCCTCACCGTCTTGCCGCCATCTCCTCCCCCCCCCTCGGCTGTGTGTGTATGTGAGTGCAGTGTCGTACATCGCACGTGTGGCGGGCTCCGAAACCCCCTTCGCCTCCTGCCCCCCCGAGGAGCCGGTGGTGTTCCCCACGCGGGAGGGGCACCTGGTGCCGGCGCTGGCCACCGCGGTCAAGACCATGAAGAAGGGCGAGAAGGCGGCGCTCAAGGTCAAGCCGGCATGTGAGTTGGCGTGCCTGCTAACTTTTGTTGTGGTTCCAAACAATGGTGTTAGGTTGATGTTGGTATTGAGATGATGAAGGGAGCGAGCGAGGAAGGGAGCTCAAGCCGTCTTTCCACTTATCCCCATCTTAGCTCCTTCACGTTCGCAATCCGAAGCCCCTGCCCCGGCAAAACATAACTTACCTCCTCCTTACCTCTCCATCGCCCCGCCCCGCAGATGGTTTCGGAGAGGCCGGCAGCGAGCAGTACGGCGTACCGCCCAATGCGGATCTTGAGATCGAGCTCACCCTGCAGGGATGGAACCACGTGAGTGTTACATGCATGGCCGATTGTACTGCCCCCGGCTGCAGCTGGCGCCACCCCGGAACTGTGGGCTTGCAGTACAGGAACTGCCTTCCTGACACCATATGGCACTGCTTGGGTCTCACTAGGCTCTGGCTCTACCTGCCTGCTGCCTGTTTTGCCCAAGCATACTAGTCACCTGCGCACCAAAGACGCCTCGGGACGAACCGCATCCCGCCTCTGTCCGCACACCGCTTCGCCCACACAGCAGCCCTTGTGCCCGTCTTGCTTGCCCCTCTCCCCCCCATCCACTCGCCCACACACGCCCTGTATTTCCCCTTTTCCCACCCATTCACCTACCCCCTGCACACACCCTGTGTTTCCCCCCTCTCCCCCCACATGCAGGTGGAGAACGTCAACCCCGAGGGCAGTGTCGTCAAGAAGACGCTAGTGGCTGTAGACAGCGAGTACCGCAAGCCGAATGAGGGCGCCAAGGTCACGCTGCGGGTCACCGGTGGGTGCAGCAGCAGCAGCAGCAGGGGGGGGGGGTTGGCGGGAGTCGGGGTGCATGGAGGGCGGGTGTGTGTGTGTGGGGGGGAGGTGTGTGCCGGGCGGGGCACGCTGGTAGTTGTTTAGTGCGACGCCTGTGGTGGCTCTGAGGGGCGGGTGTTGGGTTTGCGTTGGGGCTATAGGGCTGAGGCCTGGCTGTATCCCTCCCTCCGTTAATCCCCTATCCCCTGCCTACCCCTGCCTACCCCTGCTCTCCCCGCAGGCACGCTGCTGTCCGACGGCGGTGTGTTCATGCGGCACGGGGAGGGCAACGAGCTGCGGTTCACCACCGGGGAGGAGCAGGTGCGGACGGAGGGGGCGGGGCGGGGCGGGGAGGGGAGGGGACGGGTGGGTGACATATTGACATGTAAGGCGTTGTAGTTGTCATGCGTAAGTGGCTTCTGCATAGGTTCAGCAACGCATCGACGGAAGCTCGTACCCTAGTCTCCGCTGGCCTCCCCATTTCTAGACAAGCCCCGCTGCTCCCTACACGTACCCAATCCTTGTCATGGATTCCAGCCCCCACCAACCGCTCCTTTCCTCCTCTCCCTCCTCTCACACGCCGCGCACCAGGTGGTTGAGGGCCTGGAGGAGGCGGTGATGAAGATGAAGCGCGGCGAGCGAGCCATCATCACCATCACCGACCCCGCGCTGGGCTACGGAGCTGCGGGCGCGCAGCCCTCGCAGCCGCAGCAGGAGGGTGCGGGTGCGGGTGAGGCCCAACAAGAGGCCCAACAGCAGCAGCAGCCGCAGGGCCCCCAGCTGCTTGCCGCTGTGCCGCCCGACAGCGGGCTGCAGTTCGAGGTGGAGCTGGTGGAGTTTGAAAACGTGGGTTGGGGGTTGGGGGTTCGGTGGTTGGTGGGGGGTTGGGGGTGTTTAGTATGCTTATTGGAACAATTTGGGCGTGGTTGGGGTGCTTGGTTGGTGGGGACGAGCTGGGTAGGCGGCCTTGGGATGGATGGGTGCAGGTGATGGGTGTGCGTACTGGGATGTGTGCAGGTGGTTGTGCCGCGCCCTTCTGACCCCAGTGCAGCACGGCCTGTGCTGCTGGACGGCCTCATGCCGTACGGCCTTAGGCCGGTGCCCCGTACGACTGATCGTACGACTGACCTGGTGCACCTGGCTCCCCGCCCCTGCCACCCCCTCACCGCCCGCAGGCCAAGGAGTCGTGGGAAATGTCGGATGCGGAGAAGGTGGAGGCGGCACGGAACAAGAAGGACAAGGGCAACGCGTGAGTGGCGGAGCGGGGGGCTGGGTCCTGCTGTACAACGCTTCTCCCGCTGCATCCTTGCATGCACATGCATGCATTTGCCAACAAACCCACGACTGCTTTTACCGCCGCAAGGTTCCACAACTTGGCCGCACCTGCGTTGCCTCGCCCTCTCACTGCTACCTTCCTCTTACCCTCCCCTTAGCCGGATTATGTTTCCATATTAATCCCCTTAGCCGCTCTCACTTTACACATCCTGCCCCACTTCACTCACCCTTCCCCACCCGCCCCTCAGCTACTACAAGGCGGGCAAGCTGGCCAAGGCCCAGCACTACTGGGACAGGGCAGTCAGCGCCGTACAGTACGACAAGCCCTTCTCGGAAGACCTCAAGCAGGTACGACAGATTACGGCGCGGGGCTGTTGTGGTATAACGGCTGCGTGGCTCAGCATACCTTACGGTCTGTACGACCCGTCCGTTCACGATTCATTCTCTTTGCCATATTAAGTGCAATGCCCCACACGCCAATCCCCATGCGTTTATTGCATATCGCCCGCATCGCCCGCATCGTTTGTAACCCTTCCACCACCCCTCCTCCCACCATCTACACGCGTCCCGCCTCTTTGCCCGCGTCCCTCTCTCTTGCTGTCTCCCCACTCGACCCTCCCTCATGGTGTTTCCCCACACACCTCGTGTGCCAGGCGTCTCGCGAGGTGAAGCGCAGCTGCTGGCTGAACCTGGCCGCGCTGGACATCAAGCGGGCGCACTGGAAGGACGCGCTCCGGAACTGCAACAACGTGAGTGGTTGCATAAGGAATGAAGGAAGGAATGAGCGAGGGGAACCCGGGAGGGGAGCAGTATAATGAGGGGAGCGGGGAGGACGGGGAAACCGTCCGGGGGAAGAAGGGGGAAAGAGGTCAGTAAGAAAGCCAGTAAGCGTCGTACTGCTGCAGATGAGCTGGCGATTTCGCAGGTTGCCGACGCTGGACATACCGGCAATGTCGACCACCACGCACGGGTGGAAGCAGTACCCCCTATCAGCTACCCCCTCTGCTTTCCCCTCCTCCCCACCCACCCCTCCAGGTTCTGGATGTGGACAGCCAGAACGTCAAGGCGCTGTACCGCCGCGCTCAGGCGCACATGGGTCTGCAGGTGAGGGGCGGGGGGGCAAAGAGGAAACAACTAACTGACTGGGCGGGGGCCCGGACGTGGCATGGGGAGCTGGGCTAGGGTGTTGTCGTACCCGTGCTTGTGGCAGCTGTGATGACAGTCCGGTGCGCCATTCCCAGAACCTTGGCCTTTCCCCTTCCTCCTCCCCCTCCTCCAACTACACGCATTTACCCCCTCCCTTTCCGTCTTCCCCGTTGCGTTTAGGGCTAACCGCAACGTTGTGTATAGGGCTATACACACTATCCCTCTTCCCCAAACCACAGCCTCCACGCTCCCCCATGCTCTTCACTCTTCTCTCCCCCCACTTCACAGGACCTGTTCGAGGCGGAGCAGGACCTCAAGAAGGCGCAGTACGCGGAGCCCAACAACGCCGACGTGGCCGCCCTCAGCCGCAAGCTCAAGGCCGCCATGCGCGAGCAGAACAAGAAGGAGGCCTCGCTGTACTCCAAGATGTTCAAGTTCTCCGCTGCGGCCGCCAAGACGCCTGCTGCGGCGCCGGCGGCGGAGGGCGGCGCGCCGGAGGTGGTGGTGAAGGAGCAGGAGGCGGCAGTGGAAGGGGGGGTCGCGGAGGCGGCGCCGGCGGCTGCTGCTGCGGTGACGGTGGGGCCGGCTGAGGTGACGGCGGCGTGAGAGGGAGGGGATTGAGGTGTGGATTGTGGTGGGTTTGAGGGGTTGGAATGATGTGAAGGAAAGCGGTGGGGTGAGTTAAAGGTGAGTTAAAGGTGAGTTAGAGAGGACAGTTGGTTGCGGGGTTTATGCATGGGTTGTTGTGGCGTGCAGGAGTGGAATGCGGCGGTCTTAGAAGATTCGCAAGGTGCAGCTATCCTGGATTAAGTTGCCTCGCACGTATTCGGGATCGGGACTTAACTGGAGATGCAGTGCATGGCTTGGCGAGGCACAAAGTTATTTTTCATCCGCGTTAAGGCTAGGGAGAGGCAGTGAGCTGTGAGAGAGCGTGTGTCGTGCAGCGTTGGCATACTTTGGCCGACATAATTGCAGTTGTCTCTCCTAAACGTCGGCTTGGCCTAATCTTATGTGTGAACAGGCTTAGTGGCTCGGGCGGGGAGGTGGAGGGAGTGGAGGTGTGCGAGCGTAAGCATAAGTACTGATGCTAGCTGTAAATAGCCAGCTGTAAGGAAGAAGAGCAGTGCTCCTTGAGCGCAGTGCTACATGGTAAGTGTTAGCAATGCCTGCAACCTTCTGCACTCCTCCATGCAAGCGCTGAACCTAACCGCTGCTCTCCTGAGCCAAAGTGCACAGCCGAAAGAACCCCGTCTGCCATTAACGGGGCACAACGACATGCATGCGCGGACTCCGTGCGTGGGACGCGCAGGTAGGAAACAAAAGCTAATAAAGCGCCACCTACTCATCCACCCATGCTTGCATTCATCCAGCTCCTGCACCCGCCTCCTAGATAGTCAGGCATCCAAGCACGCACAGCAGGCCACCAGGACCCTCCAGCCAGGCATGTGCGCATAGGACTGGCGAAGGGTTGCACGCACGGCTTGCAAGTTACGCAGCCAAACACGCAAAATGTCGGTTTGTGAGGGCTACAAAACAGAACGTCATCAGGGGTTCGCACGTGGTCCTCCACCAAACTACTGATCTGGCCCAATGGTGCTTACGTGCCCAGTGCTGATGGGATGGGCGGTTTTCACCATGGTATGATCGATCCATGCCACAGGGCCGAACCTTGCCATACATATTCAATGTTCACGGGAGGCCTTACGCCCGCAGCGCCTGGTTCGATCATCGGCACGTGTCCTGCGCCATAGGCCTATACAACCAAATGTGAGTACGCTCATTTTCATTGAGCTTGACACTTTCTTGACATAGTAAAACTATCCTGTGGTCGAGTTAATATTACTCTTACGTAATCCGTTCGCCCAGAGCGGCGGGAATTTCACTATCGCCTGACGTTTGCGGCGACGTTATGGTGACTTTTGCTGTATTGAGTTAGACTTGACATATGCTCCCAGGTGTATAAAATATAGACGGTTCACTGGTCGCGACGCTTACACTTAGCCAGGACTCGTCGACTACTTACCCCCAAAATGTTTGCATGGTTGGGTGGAAGCAAAAGACGTCGTTGGCAAAATAAGAAGCCAAACACCCGAAGCGCAGCGCGAATTGGAGCAGAGCCTTACTCCGTCAACAAATCCCACAGCCATTTTGGCATTGTCGGACACCCGCAAAGCGCGGATTGGCGCAGCCAGAACTCCAGTAAACCCGACCCTTTCGTGCCAAGCTTACTCCAGCTGGGTTCGTTGGACGTCCTGGCGGTCGAAGGCAACGCCGTGGACAGCACGACTAACTTTGGCCATGCTCCGTTAACGAGAACTCTGCCAATAAACACGCCGCATATCACAGCAGACAACTCTCGCAACTTGGATCACTCTACAGTGGCCACTACCGGCGTCGGTCGCCATTCACCTTCAGCCAAGCGCCCCAGGCATGAGCGTCCGATTGATGGCCAACGTCGCAACTCGGCGCCTTTGGTACCCACAGGTCCGGAGCAGCACCTGGGAGGCAGCCGCAGCGGTTTGGGTTACGGCATCGACAACACTGTGACAGGCTACGACTGGAAGGGCTTGCCACCTGGCTTAAACCATGGCCTTGACGCACCGTACACTGCAGGCCCTCCTGCTGCTGCTACCGACTTGGCTTCAGACGCCCACCCGCAGCCAGCCCGTGACACAGACCACAAGCCGCGTTTCCCACAGCAGCAGCAGCAGCGGCATCAGCAGCAGCAGCTGCCAGCGCTTCAGTTCCCCGCGGGAGGGCTGCCGCTTCGTGGGCCTGCAGCTGCTGCTCGGCGGACGATGGGAAGCCTGGACCTGCTCCTCATGGGCGCTCCTACCTGACTGACTGCCGCAGAGATGTCGTGGCGGCGTACCGGCACCTCCCTCTAGATTCGTGGGTCTAAGGTCGAGGGGTTACGCAAACGGTTACACCAATGTGGGTTTGTTCTTTGTCCCTTCTTCTCTAAAACCCGTGTTTGTTGGCTGTCAGTGCTGTCCGGTCAGAAAGCGAGCGAATAGGTATAGGTCAATAGGTATTCTGCGCATGTGCTCATACCATGTACGACGCGTACAGGAGGGCCTGTGTGCATGCGCATTTGGTGCGGCTACATGTAACCTAGATTGATGCTTGCCTACATGGCACGATGTTTACAAATGACAATATGCCTATATGCGGCTGCCAGATGACGCAGTGTGGATACGCAGGGTTTGGTTTCTATTTTTTCGACCGTTTCTGGTCGGCTGGGGTACGCATCTTAGGTGCAGGCATGCCGCCGATACGCAGCACTCCGATACAGCATGCAGGACATTATTTGTGACACTGGTTAGCAGACGACGGTTACTGGTAATTGCCGGTAGAAGATGGCGTCGATGGAGTTCCTGCAAGCTGCAATACTAAGCTTGCTTGCTTGCCTAGCTATTAAACAGCAGGCGGGTACATTTGCATACGTCTTCGGATGGAACCCACAGAGGGACCACTCCTGGTTTCCAGATAATTCGTTCGTTCGTACAAATTCCGGTCGTTATCGTGTAGGTGAGGCTCGATGTGCAGCTCCTGTGAGCTGTGATACGCACGCACTGCTGCGCTATGTGTAATGCCGTACACAGCCCACATGTGCCGTACCTGCTGTCCTAAGCACGGCCACAGGGAGCCCCAACTGGGAGCCTCTTGAACGCCCTTCCTTTCCCCCACCCGAGCCACAAGCGGCCTTCGTTTCCTCCACCCTTCCTTCATCCGGATAAGTTGCCCACACCAAGTACGAGTCACTGCTGTCCAACGCCTTCCACATCCCCTGCCGAAGTGCGACTCCCGGACTCGTACAACCTTTTCCCCACGTCAGCACCTCTTGGCCTGCACAAACGTAGGGCCTCCCAGGTAGGGCCTGCAGCCCCCTGCCCCGCCTCCCTCCCCTCTCATCACAGGTAGGGCCCCAAGCCCCCTGCCCCGCCTCCCTCCCCTCTCATCACAGGTAGGGCCCCAAGCCCCCTGCCCCCGCCTCCCCCCCTCTCATCACAGGTAGGGCCCCAAGCCCCCCTGCCCCCCGCCTTCCCCCCCACATCACAGGTAGGGCCTCCAGCCCCCTGCCCCCCCCCTCCCTTCTCATCACAGGTAGGGCCTCCAGCCCCCTGCCCCCCCTCCTCCCTTCTCATCACAGGTAGGGCCTCCAGCCCCCTGCCCCCCCTCCTCCCTTCTCATCACAGGTAGGGCCTCCAGCCCCCTGCCCCCCCTCCTCCCTTCTCATCACAGGTAGGGCCTCCAGCCCCCTGCCCCCCCTCCTCCCTTCTCATCACAGGTAGGGCCTCCAGCCCCCTGCCCCCCCTCCTCCCTTCTCATCACAGGTAGGGCCTCCAGCCCCCTGCCCCCCCTCCTCCCTTCTCATCACAGGTAGGGCCTCCAGCCCCCTGCCCCCCCTCCTCCCTTCTCATCACAGGTAGGGCCTCCAGCCCCCTGCCCCCCCTCCTCCCTTCTCATCACAGGTAGGGCCTCCAGCCCCCTGCCCCCCCTCCTCCCTTCTCATCACAGGTAGGGCCTCCAGCCCATGTACATGCGTCCCAGCAGGTTGGGGTCGGTGGCCTGATCCAGCAGGCAGCCCGCCAGCTCAGCGGGGGACAGCGGGCCGCCCCGCTGCGGGAGCGAGGGGGGACCGAGGAGGGGGTGGCAGGCGCTTGGTTAGGCAAGGGTGCGTGGAAGCTCACGAGCAGAGTACATGTTTGACAACATGTAAATGGCTTTTGCCACGTACCTACCGTACTCTGCTCCATGCCGCATCCTCCCCACGCACCCGCCCCCACCCCACCACGCACCTGCAGCAGCTCCTCCCTGCCCCGGTAGGTCCCGTGCCCCCGCGCGCTACCCCGCACCGCCTCCCCCAGCGCGGGGAAGTGTGGCAGCGCTGCGTGCCGGGCTGCCAGCTCGTCCAGCGTGATGAGCGAGGGGTGGCGGCGGGACAGCTTCTGAAGCGCGGTGGCGACCTGGGGGGGTGGGGACGAGGGGGAGGGGAGGGAGGGAGGAGAGGGGGGAGGGAGGGGAGGCACGAGCATAGTGACAGAGAGAAGGACAAGGAAGGATAAGGATTAGGGCCGGCATAGGGACAGTGTCGTACTTTCTAGCCGCCTTGCTGCCGTACAGCGCCCCTACCCTGCTACGAGCCAGCTTGGCAGCAAGTGCCTGGCCCTCATCGCCGCCCTCCTCCTCCAGCCCCGCCTCCTCCGCTACGCCGCTGTCCCCTCCGCCGTTCCCGTTGCCGCCATTGCCACTGCCTCCGTTACCCGCTCCCCCACTGTCGCCTCCGGCCTGCTGGGGTCGTTGCGGCTGGGGCTGCTTCTGTCCTCCCCGCAGCAGCATGGCTTCGTTTTGCCAGTCGGCAACAGGCTCTCGAAGGAAGACCTGGCCGAACGAGGGATGAAGCGGAAGGGGCATGATGTGCGGTCGGGGGTATGAGGGACGCGACACACTGGTAACACAGCGCCACTGAGCTTTGCGGCTTGTCGTGACAGCAATCCCCGCCTCCCTCTTCTCCCCGACACGATCCGCCCCTGTCCCCGCCCCACCCCTCCCCCCCCACCTCCAGAATGGCTCCCAACAGCTGCCGCGCCCCGCACGCCGCCCCCAGTGCCGCCGCCAGCCCGGGTGCCAGCAGCTGCCTGCCCGCATGCGGCTGCAGCGCCCCCAGCAGCTGAGGGGTCAGGCGGAAGGGAACCAGCTCGGGGATGGGGAGGACCTGCGGGAGGGTGGGGGGAGGGGGAAGTGGATAGTGGTAATGTGAGCAAGGAAAAGGCAGCTGGAGGCAGGGAAGCATTACCGCTGGAGAGCGCGCCTGGTTATCGTCACCACTCACCAGTAATCGTTCCCTTCGACACCCAACCGCACGCGCCCCAACCCCCACCTGTGTCGCGGATCCGAAGCTGTACCCGAAGTCTATGTGCACCAGCGCCCCGGTGGCGGGCTGCAGCAGCAGGTTGCCCGGGTGCCGGTCGCCCGCCCCCGCCAGCCAGCCCCAGCAGCAGCCGGCGGACAGCGAGGAGGTCAGGCGGGCGCGGCGGGCCAGGAAGAGCTCGGGGGTGTGGCCGCAGGAGCGGAGGAGGGTGGTGCGGAGCAGGGAGGGAGGAAGCAGGGAGGAGATCT